AGTTTTATTGTACCTTATAAATGATTATACAATTCATATTCTAAAAAGTGTCTTTTTGTACTCACCTTGCGGATATGGTAAAAGTATTCGAGGATATCTGAGACTTTGTTAGCATCGCTGAGATTGCATAACGGCTTGAGAAGATGGCGTAGAATGAGAATATCGGACAGTAAAACCATCATTCCGGACGCAATTACTGGATGGCGCATGTTGAATGCATCTCCTAACACAATCACTCCTTTCCTCTTGCTCAACATCGCCGACATATTCTTTGTTGCCACCACTTTCATCTTTGCTCCCTCATTGATCCCTTTCATAAGTACTTCACGTAGTTTCGGAGGAATCCACAATTAGAACGAATTTAAAGGTCTCGAACCTCTAGTTTCTATAGCATTTGATTTTGCGGGTACATATATTTTTTGTTTCAAAATATAAGATGATAGGTCTAAACGTGCATACATTAAAAAATAATATATTTTATAAAATATTAAGAATAAAAGTTAACCACATAATACAATTCGCACAGAGTTTTCAAATTAATTTTCAAATTTGCGGTGAAACAAAAAAATCTATAAAACAGCTTATATTTTGAAACGGTGAAGCATATCTGTACGATTCTACTAAAGAAATAATATCAAATGCATAAACTCCAAGTGGATCGGTTGAAAATGCTTGAACTTATAAATCATAATGTGAGTTTACATAAGCTATGTGCACACTGAAAAACAACATTTTAAAATTTACCTAAGAAGGAGTTTTTGGTTCAAGTAAATCTTGTTTATTCATCAGGTCGAAAACGCACCTGGGGAGCTATAGTTTTCTTGAAAAATGTAGTCATTTCACCGTTTGAGATAGAAAGAACATTATCAGGGGAAACCTCAGAGACACAACGAACTTCATTGCTGCTAATTTGATACAACAAGGTGAAAGTAGGCTTAGACATTATCAAATGTACGGTCTCAGGTTCTTCAAGCCGACAATTCTTGGAGATGTAACCAGCTCCGTATGACAGAACCTCCGCCTAAATCAAATTTTTAGCGCATTGATTGATGATTTTAATTAACTCAAAGTAAGTAACACCAAGTCTTATGTCATTCTAATTTTACTCTGGTTATAGCTATAATCCACTCACATTATTGTCGATAAGAGACCGACGAAGATTTGAATAGCAACCGTCGCATACCACAGTGAGAGGTGCAAATGCTGTTGTTTCTTGGCCTGTGCTGGTCTTGTATGTAACACCTTTGATCACTCTGTTTTCTTCTATCAAAGATTTTACAGTCCCTTCTTCAAGCCGCACACTACCAAAATTAATATGTATAGATTCATTTGATGTTTGTTTTCAAGAAGATGTAGTCAAGGTTGCTCAGGTATATAGCAAACTTTTATTACATTTTTTAGATTGCCTTTATCATAGCGAAACTAAGACTTTTTTGGAGAATGGTAGAAAGACAAGTTTTATATGTATGTATAAAATTAAAAAAACATTTGTTTTAAGTCACTGGTAAAAAAAACAAACACATCAAACAAAATACATAATGTAAATGCAAGTGAGGTAATAACTAGTGCAGAAAATAAACGACACAAGAGAATTTTTACGAGGTTCGTTTCCTACTCCTCGGGACCACGTCCAGAAATCAA